ATACGGCTCAGATCCCGCTCTTACTGTACGCATATGAGTACTATAAGGCTGTACACTGGCTCATCTCCCCAAGACTTCCCTTTTCGGTCGATTCTCTTCCCATAGCTTCCTGTGGATCAGCCACTGTACTGCCTCTTGACCCGTCGGTTCTACCATGTATATAAGCTCTCAGTAGATACGCTACAATCCTCAGATCAAGTGTGGTCTGCCCTCCACATCCTGACAGTCTCCCACTTGTGTGCTCTCTGCTTATCTGAGTGGTCCTGGCTCTCACCCTTGTGTCGCCTTGACAATATAGGGACGACTCCAGTGTAGAGCGTTCTGACGGCGGCGGTGACGGACTCTCGGATGATGATCGGAGGCTTTCTCAGAGGTGACATGCGTCCACGGCTGGCTTGATGTCTTGTGCTCATCACACCACAGGCGCGTCCACGAGTCTTCGCAGGCAACATCGGAGACTCTTAGCTCTGAAAGGCGTCATGGAAAGGCTCCCGAAGGCGGTAGCGCGGCCGTATCAAATCTTTCTGGCGGAAAGACGAGGTTGGCCTCCTTCATTCTTGCTGTAGACTTATTTCTGACAACGTTTTCTTAGACGTGAAGACGCGTATGCCTATCCTTTGTCTGACTCTGATGCAGAGGAAGGGAAAACCCACCTCCCCAAGTTTGTCTATGCTGTTTTGTCGGCTTCTTGCGAACTAACAAGCGTAAAGGGATGACCGGTCTTTGTCTCAAACCCCTCAGCGTGGACGCCGTTCCGAGCGGTATGCTATGCGCCGTGTTCTAAATTGCTTCTGCGCTCATTTTTAATGCAGTGTCGCTGTCGGAAGTCCTCAGAAGTCGGGTATGCATGCGCAAGGTCGCTCCAAGTTCAAGGCCCAGGGTCACTCTATTAGGTACGCATTCCGTCTGCTTCGGACACTGGCTGCTTATTGACTTTCCTCAGGCTCAACGATGCCTCTGACGAGGCACTGTCTGCCCGCGAAGACGTCGATGACGAGTCTGCGTTCGTACACATTTACTCTCCTCTCATCTTTGCCTCATAATCATCTCTCGTCAGCCGCAAGACGTCCAGCTCTCGCCGTCAATCTCGTGCTGTCTATGAACTGAGGTCCGTGGTCTTTTCTATCCATGTAATTTAGCGCTGACTGTCGTAAAGCGACGACGATGCCGGTCACCCTCGCACGCCCTCTGCGAAGAAGCATGTTGTCACTCGCCCTGTCAAGGAGGTCGCTTTTGATATCTCGAAGTCGTAGGTGTCGTCTTCTGTGTCTAGTTGCCGTCATTCTCACATGCACTAGATACTTATCTCCGCCGCCTACGAACAGAAAGGCTGTGCGAGTGCCGGATACTCCTCGCGGTAAACCTTCCCGCCGCATTTCTCCGTAAGTTTGTCATTTTTCTTGCTTTCGTGGCTAATTTTTCTCAGATCATCTCCCGCATATCGTTCGCGTAGTCCTATCCAAGGCCACCGCTTCTATGCCATGGCTAGTTCAGATGAAGATCTTGCGATCCAGGTTCGGTCTCGCAAAAGGTCAGTCGTATCCCCGATATGGCAGTTTCATACTCACCTTATCCTTAGGTCTGCACCCCTTGACAGCGTGGTGGAGATTAGCACCGACGAAGAACTCCCAACACGTCTGACTCCAAAGAAGAAAAGGGTTCGTTGTATCTCGTCAATCTGGCGAGCCGCAAACTGAACTCTGGTTAGCACCAACCGAAGTATCTGGGCGCGTACTCTGACGACTCAGCCTTTGAATCGACACCCATAGCGCGTGATTCCGACGTTGACGAGCGCGGGAACATTGACGGTCTCATTGCGTCTGATGACGATGATATGGCCAGTTCTCCTCGGAAGTCCAAGGCTGTCAAGTGCGTTCGCTTGGTCATTGTGTCGTCAAGTTTCTCACTGTCTTGAAGGGTTGAAAGAGTTGATGCTAGGGCTCGGTACGTTTCAGGTCTTTCGCGTCGTTGCTCTTCTCACCTCTCCCAGCGATGACCATTCTTCCAAGCCGGTTAAGCTTATCAGCATAGCGGTGCCGAAATCCACCTCAAGCGGAGAAGGTATGTGGGCATTGAACGGCGCCGCTTGATACGCTGCTGATTTCTTCACGTTCAGCGACGCATCGTCTTCGAGCAAGAGCAAGCGGCGGCTTCGGTCGCCTTCTTTTGACGCGTCCGACTACGAGCCATCGTCGAGGAAAGCCTCCAAAGCAAAGACGCCTTCGAAATCTTCTGAGTGCGTTCTACCTTTGTTTTAGATCTGCAAACCTCTATGGCTTACGTTTCCATTAGAAGCAGCCACAAGCGCAAGTATCGATCCCCGACCCCGCCTGCTGACGACGACAGGCGTCCAGCGAAGCGCGCTCATCCTACTCACGACGTTGACAACAATCAGTACGTTTCACGTATACAGGGGCGCCGTCTTCTTACAGCGTCGTTTTCTATTAGGGATGCCCTAATGGCAGACGCGCGCCACGCACAACGTGATCCTTCCCCCCACGACCGCGCGGACAAACAGCGGCGCTCTCCGTCGCCTATCAACAACGAGCGGCCGTCTGCTGTCAAGGCTGAGGCGTCTGCTACCGCTCCTCGACCGCTCATGAAAGATGTGAGTTTCCGATGTGGTGTGTATCTTGTCGCGCGCTAATGCTATGACAGGGCAAGTGCAAGGTAACTCGTGAGGAAGACCACGATGGCTTTTTGGTGGGAACTTATGGCGAATGTGCGGCCTACCTGACGTACGTGAACGACAATATTCGCGATTCCTGGGTCTAATGGGCTTTCTCAAGGCCTAATATGCTCAAGACTCCGCAAGAGACTGGAGCTGTTGGTGTTTCTCATTTCGGCAGCACGCATAATGGACTTCCGCGCTTTGAAGCTGGAAATCTGTCTTTGAAGTGCGTTTTTCTGCCCATGCGTCTTGTCGTTGGTTGCTTACCACTATTAAAGACGACTCCGTGCCATGATCAAGTTTCTGTCCTGCGCTGATGGCTTTGTTGTTAATCCCGCACGTATTCATCCTGACCAAGTGCCCGTATCCCTCTCCACGTACACCACGGGCAACAACAAGACTATCAAAACTATTTCCAAGAACGGCGAAACGCTAGACCTCGTCATTTACGCTTTCGTTGCTCCGGATGGCTCGTACCTCGATCGCTGTGCGACGCCTAGTGGGTCCAACGCCCCCACGGACAAGGGTTACAGGTGTCTCAACGTCTTTCCGCTCAACGGAGAGTTCCCTCGCATCTTGGCATTTATGCATCACTGTTTCTCTCCCGCGAATCAGCAATGCCAGATGTTCACGAACGGCAACGCGTGGCAGGCTACCAGCATGTGGGGCGATCGTGACAAGTATCAGGGTGCGGTTCAACTTCTCAATCGCGCTCACCCCCCCTCTAATATACAATGCTAGGACGCAAGCCGCTTCCCGAGCACGTCCGGGTTAGCACCGGAAGCAACTCGTCTATCGGCGCACGGGGAGTCCATCCATCCCTCGCTCGTGTCGTAAAGAGCTTCAACGCAGACAGTGAGTTGCCTATTCATTTCTTCATTTTCATCTGTCTCATTTCTTTAGTTCCTGTATTCGACAGCCGTCGTCATTTTCTGGCTTCTCATGTGGGTGAGGATTGGAAGGACGGCTTCTCCGTCGAGAAGATCCTCACGCAAGCTGACGGGCTGGACGAGCGCTGGAAAGGAGAGATCCCCGACGACAGCCTCATCGCTCTGCATTGCGTCTGCTCGATGCGCGTTACGGGTGCCGTGTCTTTGAACCTCATTGGCGCCCAGGTGCTCGTGACTCCGCGGGTTGTGCATTTCTCGGACCTCTAAGCCGTCAACAACGTTTCTGACTATCGTGTTCGTCATCCTTTCTCTCATTGCCTCTTTCCTGTGTTTTCCTCCCTGATCCTCATCCAAAAAGAAGAAACCCACCTAAACAACGTATAATATTAAATCCTTTCTACTTCTATTTATGTTTGGCAGAGATTAATGTAGCCGGTTATTACTAGACTTGGCGCAATATACCCTTATCCTGCATTAACTCTACCGCCCCGGCGAATGTCTCATGGTGTGGAACTTGGCGTCATGGAAGTTTTCCTTCCGCGCCTCCCAATTCAGAGTATATAAGGTCCGTCGTTGCACTCCGAATGCGCTGCCGCTTCTCGGGGAGTGTCCTTTCTGTGAGTAACGGTTTCGCTCTCCTGTCCGTTCACGGAATAATCTATCGTTCTCTTCAAGCATATTCTCTTATCTGAGAACGCCATGTCTTCAACGCGGGCCCTGCAGACGGTACGCTGCCGCTTACGCTTCGCGTACTCTGGGCCTTTATCCATTTCTTTGACGTTCATGTCTGTCAGGCCGTTCTGTTTCGCCTTCCTCCAGAAGTTCTATCGAACATATTGCCCGTTCTCGACGGCTCGGCTCTTATCGCCCTCTCTCAATCTTGTTCCCTGTTCAAGACCTTGGTCGCCGACGAGTGGAGGAGACGCGTTTACTACAAGACCCGCATGCACGTCAGTGATGCTGCGTCGCTTTACAGCATGCTGGATGGCATAGGGGGCGTGGTTTCAGGCTCTACGCCGTTCTCCCTCCTTCAATCCTCGAACTGCGACTTCAGTTTGCCTCCGTGGGTGACAGGCAGCGATCTTGATATTTACGTCCCGGATGTCGCCTCGCGAGACACGCTTATCGCGTATTTGCACAAGGAAGACGGGTACGGCGATGTCCCCTTCACAAGCGCATTCGACGAGCGCTACTGGGAAGACCCATCCGTCATAACTTCGATAACTCGGCTCGCCAGCGACCGCTTCTCCGGCCACGTCGACGTAGTTTGTGCGAGGGGAGGCTCTGCGGTCATGCCGATCTTATCGTTTTGGAGCACATTGGTCATGAACTTTGTCACTGGATCGCGCATCATCGTTCTCTATCCGCGTACAACACTCTCTGGACGAGGATACACGAACCCGACCTCTCATTCGGACAAACTACAAGCTTGCACTCAGAAGTACCAAGACCGCGGCTTTGCCGTAGGGCGATTTCCGCATACTGCTGACGAGTGCCATGATCCCGACAATTACTGTCCTTCAAAGTTGCGTTACACGGAGGATTGTCAGACGTTATCCATTACGTGGAAGAGCGACGCCTCTCAGCCCCGGACGGTCGCTCGGGCTCCGTCTTTCGGACGCCGTCGGTTCAGCGTGCCCCCTGCGTTCTGGACTTGGAGTGCATGCCGGGCTCAGTCCGACTTTTTCTTTCCGAACTCCGTTATTCGCCTGCTGTGACGCCGCATATTTAATTTCAGAACTTCGGTTGAACGTACAGTGTGATGACAATAAATATTCATTGTTCGGGGCTCTTGAGATTACATGCGCAGCGTCAAGTGGGTGATAATATGATTGACGCCGCGTTCTTGGGCTTTCAGCGCTACGTGCGCCGCTGCGAGAGCTCCTAGTCCTTTTAAGGTCACTGCGTCGAGGGTTGGCGTGATGACGGGGGATCTATACGCCTGGTACACCGTGGTTTAGCGCAAGGTACTCTGGTCTTTCTCGTAGCCCGGCAGCGTTGCAATACAGAAGAGTGCTCCCGCGATGACGTTTAGCACATCTCCTTATGCTACTGCTAACACGGGCTGTCCGAGAAAGGTCCCTCGCACGCTTTAGCCTCCCCGCAGGTGGCCGCCGCTTTCATTGCCCACATCACCGTCCGACCCGGTGGACGAACACGAACCACAGCTGCCACTGAGTTCAATCCGCTGTAGAGTGCTCCCGCGATGACGTTTAGCACATCTCAGGCAGCCAACTGCTTGGGACGGAAGTTTGCGTCGGTGTGGGGGTCGGTGGTGGTGGTTGGAAGAAGACGAACTCCCGCGTGACGCGTCTCATCTCTGATTAGGCCAAACACGAACAAACAGGGGTGGCGCGCGTCAGTGCCAGCTTCTCTCCATCCGCGCTCATCATCCACAAGGCACTGCGACGCTTATATGGCCAATAGTACTCGTAAATCCCTTCCACGAAAGTCAAAAGCTTTCACTTCTTATGCCGTCGACGATATCTGGTTCCCGGAACTGGCGCCAACGAACTTAGTCAGCGGCCTAATTCAACGCCTAAACTCTCAATCATTCCCCTCCTCGCTTTATACACTGGCGGACGGTTTGGCTGGAAGACTTCTGTTCTCAACGAAATCCAAAAAAACTCGATGGAGTCATGCGTACACCGAGTCTTCGTTGCATGCCGAGTATTTCGCCGACCCTTGTGTTCAGCGGGACATTCGCAAGGCCGCGTCGGTTTGCTATGGTTTAACCAATAGAAATCTGGGAGAAACTCTTGAGGGTGAGGTAGCAAAGGTCTGCACATATTTGCTCTCCTTTCCGTCCTTTGAGAGACCGGAGCAAGAGTGGGGGGGCGCGTTAACGCAGTGAGTACGCCTTCGGAGTAAAAGGTGCTTGTTATTCACGCTTCTGCAGTGTCTTGATGAGATATGCTATAATGTATCGTAAGGAGAGTCCAGTCAAGCATTGCAAAGTGATGTACGGGAGCGTGGTTGCGTTCGGTCTTGTCGCGAAGCGCGATGTTGAGCCCGGGACCTTTCTCATGGAGACGTGCGGATCTATGTCAAGCGACGTAGTCACCCAGACTGGCTCGTCTATCATTCAGAGTCATCCGAAGCAGCGCGGGCCGTGCGGGCCTCGTGTCGTACTGGGGCCTTTGCAATATGGAAACCATTGCTGCACAGCTAATGCACGGGTGTGTCGTTTTACGTTATACACAGTTAGCAAACTGACACGCCTCTGCAGTTACACTGCATTCCTGACAGCAACGCCGTCGTTATCTTCGTGACGGAGTTCATCAAAGCCGGTGCTGAGATCACGGTGAAGTATTCAGATAACGGCTACTATAAGGATGGCTGCCTCTGCGTGGCCTGTACGGGAAAATCTCCAACGACCCTAGTACGGCCCAAAAGGCCTTTGAGCGCTGTCGAAGATGGGAGTGGACAAGACATAGGCAATGTAGAGGACGTGCAGCCCAAGAAGAAGAAGATCCGTCGAGGGATTAAGAAGGCATTGCGGCCATACTGATGGCTACATTACGTCATACACTGTGTTTTATAGATTACGCGCAAATCGCAAGGTGCCTGTGCATGTTAATGTAACCAGCTGCCATCGCAGGAGTACAATGTTGCTTGCGGTACTGAGCTCTCTGCTCCAAAAGCACGTGTGCGGCCGCGAGAAACAATTAGTCAGCGCTTGCCGATCATTTAAACCTGACCGCGCTTATCTATCCACGACTCTCGCTACCCCCATATCGCGGAAGTTCAGCGACTCTCGAGACTATGGTATCTATTCTTCACAACCACTCTCTGCAATGACTGACTTACACCGCAGGCTACCGTTTACGACCTTTCGTCCGATTGCCTCCTGGCAATATTTGAGGAGTTTCAGATCGTCTGTCCGGCTGGTGAATACAGCAACGCGTACAACAAGGTGAAATTGGGATGGGTTGTTGCGAGTCACGTCTGTCGACGTTGGAGAGGAATTATGTTGGGTTCTCACGCCATGTGGGCGCGCTCTGTCTCGACCTTTTATAACTTGGAAGTCGTCAACACCTTCGTACACCGGGCAGGGCAGGCGCCGCTATCTATCGACATGGACGTCATGCATAACCACGCAGATTGGATGCCACAACGGGACTCTGTCAGAGACAGACTGTTACATCCTGAACTCCTCTCTAGGGCGTCCACCTTTGTAACAGGAGCTATGAACACATACAACCGCGCGTACTCGCCGTCTATAAACACGACTCTCACGTCAACCCGGTTTTTCCTACTTAAAGACCTCAGTGTCTTCATTCCGCATCGCCTGCACGTCGACGAGCCCTTCAAAGCTCCGCTTTTGCAACGCTTGTCTATTCGGTCCGACGCCGGAGACATGGCATCGTGCCCGATCTCCGCACGCGTTCTTACGACCATGTTCAACGACGCGTGTTATCTATCTAGCGTGTCGCTGCGTCGCTGCGTGGATACTACGAGGCGCAGCGTGAATTATACGCGCCGATCGCTGCAGTACTTGTCGTTAGGCTCCTTCGACGAGAGCCTGGTCGACGTCATGAGTCGTCAATTTCAGGTCGAAGACGAGTCGCACGTCCTTATCGAGCTGTATGGCGTGAGAGATCTATCTATCGCTCTGGACAGCTTGACGACCGCGTTCGGTGCGCGTGGATCTTCCATCGATAGCGTCGAGATACGATATGACAATGACTTCGCTGCGAGTGAAGATCGTAGCTCGCCGGCCTACAGTGACGAGTTCTTCGCCTTTCGCGCGAGCTTTCAATCTGGCCTACAGATCATCCTCCGCTATGATATCGCACGTCCTACGTGGACGTGGGAGGCGTTAGCTCATCTACTCCCATGCGAAAACGCGCGACATCTCGGGATAACAAAGGGACGTTGTTCGGATCCAAGGGAGCCACCTGCCGACTTGGCTCAATTCGTCGCCGGCATGCATAAAGTTCATAGTCTACTTGCGACCGACCGCGAATACTTTGACATCGTCACCAAGTTGCCGGCCGACAACCCGCTTGCGGTTGTAACCTTCCACTTTCGCGCAATGGAGTTTGAGGACCTAGTCTTCTTGTGGCACTGGGTGCGGAGCAGGCGCGCATCCCACCCGTTCCACTTGCACTTGAAAGGTAGTGCCATAGAAGGGGATCCCGATGACTATCGATATGACACTTGGTTTATGGAGGCACCAACATTAGCTGCACTTGGGACTGTGTGCGTCCTGCACGACGAGCGCGAATTCAAGTCTTCCCACTCCGTGCGTGTATACCGAAAGTAGTGACCTGCACCGGCCTCGCCGTCGCTCTCTTGCCTGCTAGTATTCAATGGTACACGCATGTTGTTTTTGCATCAGAATTGTACGCTACAGAGAATGACAAGTGTTTTGCGACGCCTTAGTTATATAAGTGCCTTGTGGGCGACATAGTCTGCCTCCACTGTCTGGCCCTTAGTCGTACAGGTCAAGCATCGGCCGTCCCGTTCTCCAGATGCAGACAGTACCATTGTCCGCCACCGTTGCGACATCTGAGTACGACCAAGATATCCCGTTGATTTCGCCGTTGCTGGCCTCTACGACGGAGGCGGGCGGACGAAATCGTTCATCTCGAAAGTAACCGGCCTTCTCCACATTCAGGACCACGACTGAGCCGTACGCGCCGCCCGAAGCTACCCATCGTTTGCACGGAGAAGCGACGAGTCGTGCATAGCACGAATTAGTGCACAATTTCGGATGTCTGAACAAGAAGCCTGTTGGGTTTAATGTTGCCTCGTTGAACGCGTACAATGTTGAGTCCCTTGTTGCTGCCATAATCATTCCGCTTTGAACATCTGCGAGACCGACTATTCCTCTTGGGCGTATAGACATCTGCTCCGGCATTCGAGAAGACATTACGCTTGGTTTGGGTTGAGGCGAGTCTGTCGTGGATCGTAAAGCTCTCAGATCCCACTTTCTGATCTGTCTATATACTCTTCAGTTACGCCGTAACTTCTTGTTGACTTTCACTTACGAGTCCAAGCTTCCACTGCTGATCAGGCCATTCACGTCTGAGAATATCATGTCCGTTACTGAGGGCGGGTTTTCAGCCGACTGTGGTGTCCTCCTATGCGCATTATAAACGCGCAACGCGGGAGACTGCTCGCTAACACTTGCAGCTCGTATGTCCCAGATGAAGATGTTCCCGTCTCTTCCTGCCGTTGCCAGTAGATTACGATCCTTTTGGCACCATCGAACTGCTTTTGGGCTGGCCCAGTGGCTCTTCAAAGCCGAGACCTGTTTGCCCGTTGCGATGTCGACGATATAGGCATTCCAATCGCCGCTTCCTGCCGCTAACATACTGTCGTCCTTGCTCCATTCCGCGTCAAAGATGATTGTTGCTCTTAGCGAGCTCTGCAGCATCACAGCGCCTGCGATCTCCTTCAGCCAAGATCGTCGCAACCTTGAGAATTACAAGATCGTACCCACAGACTGCAGTCCAAGGGGTGTGTTGCCCTTCATGATGTGTATAACTCCTTCACCCGTTCCAACGGCGATTGTCTCGTCCGGACCATGCTTGGAGCCTGACCGGACTCAGCCGACGGTCCAAAGTTACGCGCAGAGCTTACCGTTAGAGAAAGCACATGCACTTGCTACTGTAACACCACCCGAAGATAGCAGCGGTGTGCACCTGTATCTGTCTGCGTAGTATCTAGAAAAGAACTGCTTGTTGTCGTAAATGTGATATTCTGCTCGGCGTCAGCCACAACAGTTACGGGAAGTTACTGCTTGTACGTACGTGCGCTTCGAACAGTCCGATGCGTAGTATTTATGCGTATATGTGATCTTCGAGCGTGATCTTGCATTGTATCGCATCCAGGAGGCATGGTGGTTATGGGCAAATTTACTTGTCTCGGATCTCTTGTGCGAGATCAGGAGCGTGAGAATTTCCGTCGTCGGCCGCGAGACGCTCTCGCTGCAGACTGCCACGTGCGCACATCAGTCACGTGCGCAATGTTCGTCCACGACGGCAGCCGCTTCTCTTGCGCACAACCACTATCCGTTTGACTGGTCAGTCGCACGTCAGGCGCCTCTTCATGACGCACTCGGGCGAAAATATTTTCAAACCTTATCTTCGTCTTCACGCTCCTCATTTCTATGACACTCGTGTTCGCGTGCGCGTGTTGTGTCTGGACACGTACACAATACAGTACATCACGCAGAAGGGCGGATATACAGGGTTTCATTACAGTGACAAGAAGATATGGACTGCGCAAGAGCTTTTATCTGCCGGTTTCATTGAAATCAAGTGGAATGGACTGTGAGGTCGTTATTGGTCATCATGTTTAGATTCTGACTTTGCGAATAGAGGCACTTTTGCCATCCTGGATTCAACCGACGAGATTGCGCTGGTGATGGTTGGCAAGCCTCGAACGCTTTCATTAAAGGAGAGTAAAGAGTGGGACGAGCAAACTCTCCGCTTCGGGCTGAACGTCGAGGCGCGCCGGGCTCGCGATGAGAGACCTTTCGAAGGAAAAGCAGGACATCATTCGCGAGGCGACTTCGCTACCGTCACTTTTGGCATTGGATATGGTGGAGGAAGAAAAGTTCGGAGCTCTCCATGTTACGAGTGCACGGGGAATTTACGCTTTCAGGTCCCCACAAACACTACGTCAGCTACTTCTGCAGAACGCGCTATCGCACAAGAGCTAATGGCTGACCAAGACTTGCAACTATTTGCGGCACGGGGTAGTGGTAGGTGGGAGCGTGTGCTGAGATTAGTCCCTATTCTGATCGCGAAGCAGATGCGCTCGAAACCTTTCATCCACTAGCCCACGAGCATCTTCGAGAGCGCATGAGGATCCTTCATGAACGACACCCACAGCTTCGTTTCCCATTCTCTGACAGCCTTTACCCCGCTTGTACCATGAACTGTGGGCCGCAAAGCGTATCATTCATTCACGGAGACGGCCAAGACTATCCCTGGATTCCCGGAAGCATCCATGCCTTTGGTTCCTTTGACCCTACCCGTGGAGGGCACCTCGTGGCATTCGACCTAAGGGTATTCATCCGTTTTCCGTCGGGAACACTGTCGTTGTTATCTTCTTCCGGTCTCCTACACGGGAACACAGCAGTACAAGAGTTCGAGACGCGCTACAGCTTCACGCAATACGTCTCCGGCCATCTCATGAAGTGGATCGCTTACGGGTGCAAGCCTGCTGGCCAGGTCTCTGAGCCGGAGCGAAAAATCTTAGACGCAGCCATGAGCGAGTCCGCCGCGGATAGGCGAAGGCGGATCTCGAAATTCTTCCGATTGCAGAAGGATCGCATAGCCGCTTACGGAAGATCTATCTTGCGCGGCCTTACGGCGGACAACAGTTAGCCCAGGCCGCCTCTCTGTCTCCGTGCCTGATCTCGATCCCTACTGCTCTGAAGAATGCTAGGGAGCCTTTATAATCATTAGTGCGATCGTCGTCGGCTCATTTTGAGCGCTGCTCTCTCCTTCTTACATGCCCATTACTTCACGCGTTACCAACTCCTCCGTACAGTACAACCTCATTAATGAATGCGTTGAGCGCTCTATCCTTCTTAGGAAGACGCGTGTGGCAATAGCTACCAACGGTTCACCGTGCAAGCACGGCGCGCCACGCAGACGCGTTAAAACTCTGCAGCGCCAGTCGACGCATGGATTCCAAAGTCACGCAGTTCGCATACGGCGAGTTGGCCAAAGCACTGGTACTATCTCTCGGGAAGACGCCCATATGTTAGGGTTGCGAGTCAGAAGATCTTCTCTTTCTGGGGTTTCACCTACTGTTGTAGGCTCTTGTCGTGGTTCGTTTCTGATTGATCACGGTACTCGATGGACAATAGAATACCACACCTTGAACGTATGCGACGACGATTCTTCTCTAGCTCTATCTGGACGCGTTCTGCTTCCAACATACGGGCATACTTTGAAGAGTAATGCGACTCCTTCTCTCGTCGTAGACCGCAATGCGAGACCACGTTTGCGCTTGCGGACCGCACCTGTGCCTGTCTCAGAGCCATGTCCTCGTCGGACTATCTCTCCCGGTGACTTAGCACGGCTGTGCAGATGGAAAGTGTTACAGCTATTGCGCCGCGAGGCCGCACAAATTTTGTCTGATTGGATTCTCTTCGGTGGCGCCAATAAAAAGAGGCCCATGGTGCCTGGAAGCGTTGTTCGGGAGTTCTCTTCCCATACCGTAGATACTTCCGATTCATTCGAGATATTGGAGCATTATGGCGCGTGTGATGCGGCCGATCTTGAGGACGTTACCGGCGACAAGATTGTAACGCGCATTCCTCTTGCAGACATCGCTGAACAGATGACAATCGCACAGATACTGCAGGCTTCTGTTAGACATGGTATTACACGTAACCATAACGAGAGGTCAGCGAATCTAATATCCCGGATACAATCTCACGCTCTGCTGAATCAAGAGTGCTGTCGACATCAAGTCACACTGGTACGGAAGCTGGTAAAAAAGAACCCTTCAAAGACTCGACAACGAAGTTCACACCCAGAAAATGACAACGATTGCGGAGAGTTTAAGGCTGATTCTAATTTTCCACCTAAGCCATTGACTGACGACGAGAAAGAGCGAATCATTTCAGCCTTTTGTTCAGAGCTTGATCCCGAAAATGTCTTGGAGTCGGGTTGCATGGTATGCGGTCAGCTGACTCTAAAGAAAGATTTAACACTTGCTAATGACGATACCTTTGACTGGAAGCTGTTGGAAGACGAATCGGGAACTGCAACTAGGAAGGAGAGGCGCACTGAATCGGACCCTCGGTCCCCGCTTCAGGGGCCGGTTGTAGATACCTCATGCGGGCGCGATGTGTGTAAGGCGTGTCTTTCCGATCTGAAAGCGAAAAACCCCAGAAGGCCCCGATTTGCATTGGCGAACGGACTTTGGCTAGGGAATATACCGAAGGAATTGAAGGATCTCACGTTTGCAGAAAAGCTTCTTATTAGCAGGGTACGTTTCAATTATTGTGTTGTGAAAGTCACGACGTCCATGCATTACAAAATGAGGGCAAATGCTATAATGTTTCCTTCTCCCGTGGCCAAAGTTTATAATATACTCCCACCGAAGCGTGAGGAGCTAGATGAGGTGCTCGCTTATTTATTTATTGGCCCTCATAAGCCAACTAAACAAGACCACGAAAGAGCTCCCATGTTGGTCAGGAGGAACAAGGTATGGGACGCTCTCACGTGGTTGAAGTTCAATCACTCGGGATATAAAGACTTGGAACTGTCTGCTGATAACCTTAACACTTACGAA